ACAAAGGACATTGGGCATTTCCTTAAGTGTCTTTCTGCCATTTGAGATTGTTCTGTTGAGAATTCTCTGTTTAGATCTGTACCCTATTTTTTTATTGTACTATTTGATAGCTTGATGTCTAGTTTCTTGAGTTCTTTGTATATTTTGGAGATCAATCCTCTGCCAGATGTGGGGTTGGTGAAGATCTTTTCCCATTCTGTAGGGAGCCATTTTGTCTTATTGACCATGTTCTTTGCTTCACAGAAGCTTCTCAGTTTCAGTAGGTCCCATTTATTAATTTAAACCCAAGTCTTAAACAACTATGCTTATGCAGTGAGAAGCCATAAAGCTTAGCAGATTTGCAATTATAGATAACTTGGTAAATATGATCAAAGCACATTATATGCACATATGAAAGTATCAATGATGAAACAAATTTAAAAATATGTAACTCACAATTTTATACAAAGCAGTCTGACTATTTCAGTGCAATCTTCTGGTTACTTTAAATAATATAGAGAACAATTGTAAAAAAGAAAAGAAAGAAAAGGAAAGGAAAAAAAACCTGTACTAATGGGCTGGCAGGATGGCTTAGCAAGTAAAGATGCTTGCTCTCCAGTCTGTTGACCTCATTTTGATCCCCAGCATTCACATAGTAGAAGTAGAAAACCAGCTCCTGCAAGTTGTTCTCTGATTTCACACCTGTGCTGTGGCATGCACACCCATATACATGAATTAAGATGTAATTTAAAAATTAAATAATATGTAATAAAACCAATATGTAATAAAACCAAAAGTATTTCCCTAAAAAGTGACCAATGTGTTCTCTGCTCTATATTCTTCATCTATCTTTTACAACACCTTGAAAGTTAGAAAGCTATCAAAATGTGGTCACATGGTGTTCTAAAGCAGATCAGAATACCAAGGAGCCATAATGATGTTTATAGCCTCATTCAACTTGTCTTTTAAAAGTAACCCATCTCCTCTGATCTCCAGTTGTGAACTATATAAGATAGGTTGTAGAATTAGAATATGATTTTCATTGTGTATAATAGTTTGCTGTTTCTCTAGGTCATTCGTTATACTTAAAGTGCATTCATTATAGATATAGTTTTATAATATCCATGACACAACTATAGTATGTACACCAGCAGATGTTACAAAGTAAATGAGTTGCAATTGTGTTTTTTCATTGAAAACCTTCAGAGTCTGGTGTCTTAATTATACAACTAATGCCTCTCATCTCATGATGGGCTTTGAAGCCACCATGCACTTTGTAGAATCATAGAATCTTTTTTTTTTTTTTTGGTTTTTCAAAACCCCTGTAGCTTTGGAGCCTATCCTGGCACTCACTCTGGAGACCAGGCTGGCCTCAAACTCACATAAATCTGCCTGCCTCTGCCTCCCGAGTGCTGGGATTAAAGGCATGCGCCACCAACCCCCAGAGAATCATAGAATCTTGAGACTGGATTAGAGGCTCAATTGGCAAGAATGCATGTATGCTTGTCTTTTGTGAACAAGTCCCTAAGTTCAATCCTCAGCATCCAAAAATGAATGAATGAGTGAATAATGAAACCTTCCTTCAGTAATGTCTTAAGTGATGGTGTTTTTACAAGTTAGTGCAATAAATCAGTTATTTGTTATGGACCTTTTTTTGCATTGTACTAAAGGCAAAAGGACCCATGTTACTGTAGAACCAAGAACTCTGGAATACGTTGTATGCTGTCCAAGCCTTTGGTTTTGGTTTTGGTTTTTTTCTTGAGTCAGGGTCTCATGGAAACTCAATCCACAGCCCAGACTATCTTCATATTTGCTGCATTCATGCTGTGTTCACTTCCCAAGTGCTTGAATTACAGTTGTCTCCACAATGCCCAACAATTTTTGTATTTCTTTGTTTCTTGAAACATATGTAGCTCATGATGACTAACCATGGATTAATTATCAGCTGCACAGGTATTTTAGTGAATGGCACCTTATAGAGGAGTCAGCCTTCATAGCAAAGAAGTTTTTGGGTAGTTTCCACTCAACTACACTTCCAAGGTTTATCTGAGGTTTTCTGAGAGCCCAATAAATACCTGTTAGCAGTGGCAAAGACTAAAGTTGTGGCTGGTGGGCATTCCAACATCACTCGAGACTACATTCTGTAGAGAAAAAAAAAATATTACTACCCTAGCTATATTTTAATGAAGTTAATTGTATACTTATTAAGAAAAAGACAGTTATTGGAGAGAAAATGAATTTATTAATCTAGTACATTTTTAGACCTTTCTTTCCCCTTGAAAAGAAACTTTTAGGATTTGTTTGTTTGTTTGATGGATTGGATTGGTTTGATTTGGTTTGGTTTGGTTTTTTTCAAGACAGGGTTTCTCTGTGTAGTCCTGGCTGTCCTGGAACTCCCTCTATAGACCAGGCTGGCTTCATACTCAAAGACTTACCTGCCTCTGCCTCCAGAATGCTAGAATTAAAGGTGTGCTCCACCAAAGCACACATATATACATATGTGTGTGTGTCAGTATAATAGATCAGAATTTTCTATTCTTCCTTGAAAAATAATATACTTTCTAAAAATAAAAAGTATACTTAGGTGGGATATACATTTTATAAGTTGAAAAGTTACAATTTTTAGAAATTAGAACAATTGAGTTTGACAGGCTTTGTTATACCTGTACCATCTTGTTTAATGGTAGAAAATATTAAGCTGCCTCTATCCTTGACTTGTGTTTGTGTGTGTGTGTGTGTGTGTGTGTGTGTGTGTGTGTGTGTGTGTGTACGCGCACGTGTGCATATAATCATTCTGGATTATATGATACTGTTGTGCTCAGTTTTTTTTCTGCAGTGTAGTCTTACTTAGCAGAAGCAAGCACACTGCGTCATGACCCAGCATAATAAATACTCACCTGTACATGAGAAGGTGTCAAAGAGATAGGCATGGAACATTGCAAAAGCACACCAGAGGGATTAACCACTTAGGAGAATGAAGAACATTTCTCATATATGGGAAAACATCGAAGATTTTCTTGAACTAGGTATAAGGGCTCATACCTGTAATCCCAGCACTTGGGAGCTTGAGAAGTCAGCCTGGGCTACAGGATGAGACCCCGATTCAGAAAAGCAACACGTAAAAGAAGATTATCTTGTAAAGGAAAAAATATAGTAACCCTTAAGAAAAAAAGACATTCCCACTTGAAAGAACTCCCTACAGAGTTTGAAAACATATGACCTGTCTTCTCTATATGTGTCTTATTCTTCAAACAAGAGGCCCTTTTTTAATTCTAAAGAATGTATTTTATCCTGGCAAAAAAATTAATAACACAAAGTGCATTTTGGGTTTTTTTATTTATTTCTGTGAACCAAAACCAGGATCACATGTGTGCTAGGCAAGTACTCTTCCACTAAGCCATATTCATCCCCAGTCCCAGAACTTTTAGTTGTATGATCCAGTGGCATCAAATACATTCACATTGCCTGTGCTTGTACAACCATCACTACTGTCTCCTTTTTTTTTCTGTGTGTTTGCTTGTGCACCTATGTGGAAAGCATGCTGGGTATGGAGGATAAGCGTGTGTTTGGAGGACAGAGGACACCTTTGTGGAATTGGTTCTCTTCTTCCAAATTTATGTAGGTTCCGGGGATTGGAATCAAGTGAGTCTTGCATACCAAGTACCTTTATCTACTGAGCCTTCACATAAGCCCCTCCTAAAGATTTTTATCATTCCAAACTGAAACTCTTTCCATAAAAAACTGTTTTTGTTCCCCAGCACCTGATAATCTCGGTTCTATTTTTGATCTCTGAATTTGCTCAGGTACCTCATGTAAATGAAGTCATATGTATTTGTCATAAATAATTACTTAATGGGAACTTAAATAGCTGCCTTATTTTGTTTAGAATTGTATTGTCAGCTCTCATCCATGTATGCAGCAATTTCTTTTTTTTTTTTTTCTTAATATTCCATTGTCGTATTTTCTTTCAGCCATTGAGGGACATGGGGTTTTTGATTCTGCTACTGGCCAATGTGATTACTACTGCCCTCCACTAATATTCAAGCACCAATTTGAGCTTCTACAGACTACTGTTGGATATATATAGCAGTAGCATTTCTGGACCATGAGATAATTTTGTATTCAACTTTTTGAAAAGGAATCAGTTTTCCACAACATCTTATGGCTTATTTTCCCACATGCAACACATAGAAGACCCCTAATGTTTCCATGTCCTCTATATTAGTTACTTTTCTTGTTTCTCTGAAAAAAGCAACTTAAGGAGGTATAGGTTTATTTTGGCTCATGGTTTAAGGAGACAATCCATCATGTCAAGGAAGATACAACAGCAGGCACAAGAGGCAGCTTGTCATATGATGTCCAAGGTTAGGAAGTAGAAGCCAACCAATGAACACTAGTACTGCACTGGCCATTTCCTTTCATTCAGTAAGGGGCTCCAGCCAGTGGTACCTCAGTTAAACCTTTCCAGAAGTATCCTCCAAACGTGTCCAGAGGTATGTCTCCTAGGCAGAATCAAATCAGCTCATAATGAACCATCACAATTGCTAACCTGGTCTTTTAAAGTTTAGAAAATTTTTTCTCACCTATGTAGAAATTCCTTAAGAAGTATGGGGCATATCTATACTCATATCGCCATTACACTAAAAATAATCCTTTGGTGTTCAGCATTCAAACAGCTGTATGAGCCAGGTTTATAGAATACTGACCTTTCTCTTACTGGTTGTATATTACAGTGTGTTCATGGAAAGATCTTTAAGCTAAGAAATTACTCTTACAAAGTTTAGTTAGTTCGTTAGTTAGTTAGTTAGTTAATTAGTTAGTTAGAGACAGGGTCTCTACATAATCAGGCTGGCCTTGAACTCACAGAATTCCACCTGCTTCTGCCTCCTTAGTGCTAGGATTAAAAACATACATCTCCACACACAGCTAAAGTTAAATTCTTAAGTACAAAATAAATGAAGATGGATTTGTAGTGTGTATGTCACAGTCCTTAGCAACATTGGTTTTCTCTCTTCCTACAGCTCCCTGTACAAGCAGCACTTTCTTTTGCCATAGCAACATGTGCATCAACAATTCTTTGGTCTGTAATGGTGTTCAGAACTGTGCATACCCTTGGGATGAGAATCACTGTAAAGGTAAGTCTGATGCCAAGGCCAGCATTTCTTGAGGAGTAGGGGTTCCTTTCATAAGAAAGGAATTAAAATGTCTTTTTCTACTGGTGTGCTTAGCATAGTTGCTTTAACAGAGCTAGACACATAATAACATTCTCCCCCAAACCCGAAGAAAAGGTTTCTCTGTGTAATCTTGGCTGTCCTAGAACTTACTCTGTAGACCAGGCTGACCTCGAACTCAGAGATCTGCCTGCCTCTCCCTCCAGAGTGCTGAGATAAAAGGCATGCACCACCACTGCCTGACTTAATAACATACTTAAAAGATAATTGACTTCTGGGATGTTATAAAAGAAATAGTCAGCAAAAGCATTTCTTTGTGGAGTGTATTGTCAAGTTATTCAGAAGTGTATCTTCATATTTCAGACCCTGTATTAGTTATCATTGAACCATGTAGTTACCAGATAGTTTAGAGGATAGCCTTAAGAATGGAAGATGGATAGGTTATTGAAGTGACATAAAAGCAACACATATAGAATGCTTTTCTTTCTTTTTCTAACATATACTCTGAAAGCCAAATATGATGATGAGAGGCATTAGACACCTGCAACTTGGTTGTCACGCAGTTGGAGAAATAAAATGTATGTCTTTCATCTTCCTCGGAGTTGAATAAATAAATATCTTACTGTGGAAGCTGATGTAATCTGAGGGCAACACTATTTGACATGCAAGTATTTATCATTCCAAAACAGTAGACAATAGTGGTGTATCTGGATTGTTAGTCTGATCCTATATACGGAAATCTATACAGCATTTGTCAAATCTATATTGATGTAATTTTGCAAATTGTAAGCACTTGTGAACTCTTTGAGTAAGGGAACCAAATACTTTAGTTATTCTGTTCCTAGCTAGCTATGTCATGATTTGTTAGTTGTCTCAGAAGTCATGGTAATAGTATTTTCTATTTGTTTAAAAAACAATTCTTCAGTTGCATTATCTCTGATGTATTTGAACCAAATACCCTGTTTTACCTAAAAATGTCTAATCAGCCTGTGCTGGAACTCCTATTAATGAATTGTAAAAGCCCCAACATTTCTTTCTTACAGAGAAGAAGAAAGCTGGACTATTTGAACAAATCACTAAAACTCATGGAACAATTATTGGCATTACATCAGGGATTGTCTTAGTTCTTCTCATTATTTCTATTTTAGTACAAGTGAAACAGCCCCGGAAAAAGGTTATGGCTTGCAAAACTGCATTTAATAAAACTGGGTTCCAGGAAGTATTTGATCCTCCTCATTATGAACTATTTTCACTAAGAGAGAAAGAGATTTCTGCAGACCTGGCAGATTTGTCAGAAGAACTTGATAACTACCAGAAGATGCGGCGCTCCTCCACGGCCTCCCGGTGCATTCATGACCACCACTGTGGATCTCAAGCATCCAGTGTCAAACAAAGCAGGACCAACCTCAGTTCCATGGAACTTCCCTTCCGAAATGATTTTGCACAACCACAGCCAATGAAAACATTTAATAGCACCTTCAAAAAAAGCAGCTACACTTTCAAACAGGCACATGAGTGCCCTGAACAGGCTCTAGAGGACAGAGTGATGGAGGAGATCCCCTGTGAAATTTATGTCAGAGGGCGAGATGATTCTGCACAAGCATCCATATCCATCGACTTCTAATTGTCAGCTAAAAGCACTAAGTATTAAGTATGTGTATGCAGCCTACACCAATACCCATTCTGTCTCAGCAACCAGTCTTGTTCTGTCAAAATTAGAAAAAGCTTCATAATTTATCATAATGCTGAAGATTTTATTATCTCAGGCAGTCTATCTATGTGAAACCAACGAAGGAACTTACCATATTCAGTGGAAAAAGTCATCTTCTGTTGCTTGATATCTTATCTACAAAATACCACCAGTTCAATAGCAGCTGAGGATCGAGTGGTCATGTTGAGCCAGACTCAACAGCCTAGAGGTGTTGACATCAGGGTACTATTTTGGTTAGCACAGCCCCATCCATTTGATCCCACATTAAATTTAAAAGTAAGATTTTCCTTTATATTTCTTTTGACTTTCCTTTCTCTAGTGTGTTTATTTGCCTGTAGTTTTACCATTTCTGTCTCCTGCATAAGGGGATAATGTGTCACGCAATTCAGCATTGGCATGTATGTATTTGCTCTTAAATGTATAGACTCTGGCTAGTCCTATGATGAATGGCAATTTAAGACACAGTCATATTTCATTTCTCTCTGGATCATTTCTATACTATTGTCTTTAATAGCTGCATCTTTAGTCCTGTTTTCCTGTGGGAAGTAGTAGATAAAATGATTTATCACCTTTAAATCATGTTTTGTCTTAGTTACACTAGAAAAATAATAATCCCAGGGTTTATGATTACCATTATTCATGAGTGGAAATTTGAGAAAGATTAAAAACGTGTAGCAATCTCTGAAGTTGTCCCTGTTAGGTCTCATTCAGTGACAGGCAGTCACCTAGGAATCAGGGTCCTAGAACTCACTTGTGGGCAGGCCTTTAATTATGGCTCCATGCTGAGCTTCTTGGCCAATCTGTCCCTGTCATGTTTCAGAAAGATTTATTTGTTCTCTTGTTCTATTGTTCTCTTTGACACATGGTAACCATAGTTAATGGAAGCTTAAAGAAATCCTCTGAGAAATGTGTGAGCCTTTACACAGCTTCTGCTTGGAACAGTGCATTTTTCTAGCCATTATCATCAAGAAGAGCAACTTACAACTTTTTTTTAAAAGCATTTTTGACCTTATGTTTTGTAAAGTATATAAAAGAATAATTTATAAACATGATATCAAACTCATTGTGTTTTTTAGACTTTTGATATTATTTGATACTGTATTATTAAACCAAGATTTAAGACATACAAGACAGATTTCTTTGAGTGTTCACACAGTAACTTTGTGTAGAAATACGCTATGATGGGACTGTACTATAAACTCTTATAAAGAACTTGGTCATGGTGATGTGTACATAAGCTTTTTCTTTTGCTGCTGTATCTAGTTGGTGATAAGTTTTTCATGTGTGATATTTGTTGTTCTAAATCACAACAGAAATCTTATATTAAAGTATACATCGTTTCATGATCTTTCAATTACATTATTTATAGAAGGAATGCTTTGGATAAAGTGTGAATGGGGAAGACTCCATATATTTAATGATAACTAATATAAATAATTCCATTTTAAAGAGGCAAATTCCCATTTTCTTTATATTTTTAATGAAATGAAAGTTCAGGTTTCACTAGATTTCATTAATTCTTTTAAGTACTACATAAATCTGATCTCAGATTGCTGACAACTGTAACTTTCAAAGAGATCTACTTTCTGCCCAAAGTGTGTTCTCTGTATGACATTTTTATTTCTAAAAACGGAAATTATATCAGTAAGATAGGAAAACCTACACTTAATATAAGCATAATTTATTTTTTTTAATTCAATAAACATTCCTGCTTCTTAAAAATAGAACTTGGAAAAGTAAAAGAAATTTCAAAGCATAGTAATCACTAAACTTTCCAGAGAAAGATTAGATAACCGTGTTCTTTCAGTAACCATTAAATAGGCATTTTACTAGGTGACTTAGGGAGCCAGTGTCCCAGCAGCATAGTAAATACTTAAATTGACAGCTGTGATCTCATAAAGAAAAATTAACATACTTCCTATATGAAATTATACCCTTATAAAAATAATTGCCATACTCATACTTAATTTTATAGTATGATTTTGTACATCATTATCACTTGTAACTATATCTCATTTTTAACACTATATCCTATTTTAAAGGGATTTGAAGAGGCTTAAAAAACACAGGTGTTTGTGGAAAACACTGGATGTTACAATAGTGTAGATTTGCATGATCTCATGCAGCTCAGCCAAGATAACCTTGGATGGTAATTTGATTCTAAATTCTCTGACAACTAACCTTAAAGTTGTCCCTTTTCATGGTAAAAACACTTGTATTCAGAAGCTAAAGTGAAAGGCATAAATTTAGTAACAAGATATGAAATTTAGCTATCTTATCTGAGTTATTACACCCTACAGAGTACTCCAGTACTAAACATGTCTTCTGACAAAAAATATAAAGCAGGAGGGTGGTAAAAATCTCCAGTGCAGGAGAGTACTAAGTACCCTATATGATGTCACCATTGCTTTCTTCCCTCCCAAGTTTAGCACAAGCTGTCAGCTCCCAGTGGCCACAGACTACAACCTATTCATCCACTATCTTAAAGACACAGGAATAAACTGTGCTATTCCTTTTGCAGAGGAGGGATAGTCAATATAAATATTTAACAAAAACCAAAGGATATTTGCATTTCACACCACAGATATAAGCAGCTCCTTTAGCTTTGATTTGATAAAGCCTTTGTCACCATCCTAGTTATGTTTTGTATAATTGCTAAGCATTGAGGAGCTGCAGTCGGCACTGAATGCTTCTGTAGTTCTGTCACTACTTAATGAGGATGCTCGCTTGCTTCCGGAGCTTGTCAGCTGCTGAGAGAAGATGAGAAAGGCCTGGTTATCTTCTAGGAGTAATTAGCCTCAGAGATTACACTTTGTTGCAAAATGTTGTCTGCTCTGTGGCCATGTTTCTTTATTGCAAATACTAAAAGAAATATGCCTGGTTCACATTGATTATGGACAGAAGGAAAGAAGGAACTTTAGGTTTTGCTCTTTTTAAAGATCCAAGAGAGATGATGTAGTCTAGTTTTGTTAATGAGAAGATTAAACCCTAAAGGTGAAGCAGCTCCCCATGTCTCCGAACTCCTAGCCCAGTGTTCATCCTTGGCTTCTTGTTCCCTCCCTGCTTAGCTTTTAAAAGTCACACTCTTGTAAACATCAGCCTAGATATTCCATGCAAAGCTTGTTAGTTATACTTACCTAAAATGTAATGCTGTGATTACACTGGGGTTTCCACCCCTCCCTTTTTAATTTATACACTGCTATCCTACCATTTTTGTTATCAGGTTTTGTGGCACTTGCAAAATATGTAATTACCGTGAATTCTTAATAAACAGTGCTGATTAGTAGCACACAGGTGGTGCCAGAGAGAGAGAGTCTGTGCTTTCTCTTTTGTAATGTTTTATAAGTTAAAAGAAACAATGTACATTATAGAAATTAAATATTGGGGTACCATATCTTGAGTTTTGAGAATTATTTGACTCTGAACCACTATAAGGAAACAAGCTGACCACAGATATCTTTTTAGCTTCCTGCACCATCAATTACCTGTTTTATATACTTCTACTGGTGATACGCTCTTCTTTCCTAAGCTTTTTAATATACTTTCGATTATATTTCTGATTGGTTTACTGGCTTAAAAGCCCACCAAGCTAATGATGAGGGTGCACGTATAGTGAATACTACCTAAACTTGTTTTTTTAAGCAGTACATTTTTATTAGAGAAAAACTTCCAGATCATGTAAGAATTCTCATGTACTTAATCCAGATTTGGCACTTTAAAGCATTTAGCCTTTGAACTGCAAATAAAAACTCCTGTTTTGGTTTTCTTGCTTGCCTCAATTTCTGAAGTGTATCAAAATAAAATATTTAGGCCACTTTGGGCATCAGCATTTACATTCCCTTCCATAGGCATTTCCTATCTGTTACTACCCAGATAAAATAGTCATAGTTGACATTTAATTGTTAAAGCAACTTTGGATGAATATTAAACTTAAGAACCATTTTTTTACTTTAAAATTAAGAGAAGACAAGGTGTTAAAAAAGTTACAGGATGGGAAGCTGAAGAAATGACTTAGCAGTAAAGAGTGCTTACTGCTCTTCCAGAAGACCAGGGTTCAATTCCCAGCACCTATGTGGCATCTCACAACCATTGTAACTCCAGTTCCAGGGGATCTAGCTCCCTCTTCTGGCCTCTGTGGGTTCCAGGCATGTATGCTGTACACAGACATACAAGCAAAACACTCATAATACATAAAATAAAGTTTATACCTACTAGCTCTCTAATTGGATTTAAGGCTCACTCAGCAAGAGGGAAATCATCTGTGGTTCTGGAAATATACCTAGTCAACTACCCAGGGCTAGTAAAGTCATAGACCTTGGAGGAGAACCTACAACTGCCATTTTACAAAACCAACACAATCTCTAACTACACTCTAAATATTTATCCTTATACCCACTGATAAGTATAGTTCTCACCCCTCATCAAGAAATTTGTCTTTCCAAGGGAAGGAGACCACTGCAGAAACCACAACAGATCAAATTTCAGAGTTGTGGAAGCCAATCCCAACTGATACATATACAACACAAATCCTTTACCTAAGGCGGAGAGATCTGCATGAAAGAAGGGATGGGAAAATTTTAAGAGCCATATACAAAGAGTTTGCTGTAAGACTTTGTCTCCTTCAATGTCAGAAAAGCCATATCCATTAAGTCTCATCAACATAGCTACATAAATATGATCTGACAGGGATGACATCAGTAGATATCTTCCATGGAAGGGGAAACTCATGCCACCTCAACCATAGACAAAGAACCACAGGCAACTAAGGAATGCTGAGAACTGGAGAAATAGTCTTCCTCAAGGAAGAGCACAGCAAGTGGGTGGTTATCCAGTATCACATGGTCAGTCCTGAAAGCAAACATGCAAGTAACATTATCCAGATTGAGCAAGTTGTATCTATATATTTAGGGAGA